GAAAGGCATTTCTGAGAAAGATGGTGTCAAAGATATCCTTGGTATGAATGCCAAATTGCCAAACTTTTCTCCAGTTAAAATTTGAGCTTCAATTATGCGAGTGCCACACCTAGTAACCATCAATCTTGTACTATTAGATAGTCCATCTTTCGGTGCAATGTTTCTCAACAATATTATAGGACAACCCACTTTCAACTCTAACTTAAAAGTTGGCAACCCAGGAGGATCCAATGAATTTAAATATTCATTAGGCTATCTATTTGTAATGGTAGGATCGATTTCATTATCTTCAGACATTTTATCTGCTGCAAGATAAGTATATAATCTCCCTGGAAAGATATTCAATGCAGTAGTATTAATGTCACTGACATCATCGTTACGCGCATACAGAATTGTGCGTTCAGTTAAAAATGTTGGGGTTGACGTCTCTATCATATTCATTGTGGATAAACTTTAGAGAGCAATTCATTCAAATCTTGACATTTGTGTATTGTTGATGGAAGGTTAACGATTTCCTGAGGATTGGTCCCAATCTAAAAAAAGTGAAATCAATAAAAAAGTAAGTGTAAACACAATTTATTAATTTAAAATCTATATAATACAGGTTAAAGTAGTGTGACCTCCATCAAGAAATTTGCAAATTAGCATTTTCATGACCTTCATGATTCAAGCGCATATTCAAATCCAAAGTCAAGATATATATATGCTTCCATAGAACAAAGTGACTTAATGATGCATTCACAATTTGCTCACGAACTCCTTTGGGTATAACTGGAAGATTTGTCGAAAGTCTTCTCCAAGAACAACAGTAATACCCCCAAATGGCTTTTCACTATCACAAATGTCCCTCAATGTACGATCAACCGCCTCAATACAATGTCTATGTTGCATAGGAACTTCATCCCAAATTATGAGTTTTGTTTCTCTAAATAACTCAGCTTGTAATGATTGTTTGCTAAACCACAAAGTGAATTTTCCAAGACATCTAATGAAAGGAAAATGTTGAATGTGCAGGCGACCTCCTACCAGTAACAGTGATGCAATTCCAGACGAAGCCACCGTAACAACGATATGTCCAAGGCTATGACATTTTAATGCAATCGTATTGTATAGAAACGTTTTCCCTGTTCTTGCACCCCCATTCAGAAAGAAAACAACTCCTTTATTTTGAAAAACTGAAGAAGTGATTGTATTATAAGCATTCCGCTGTCCATTATTGAGACAATCAATAGTAATTTGTGGATCTGCATGTTCTGCCTCACTTGCAATTGTTGATGTTCAACTATCAATCGATTACCAACTACTGCACTCCAATTTGCAGTAGGTTGTGGCATGGGTGGGAAGTCAATTAAACTTTTTCCTGATTCATGAAGCATTTGATTCAAAAGATGGAGACCATAATCTTCAATTTGAGCCTCAGTTGGTTTAGAAATGACAAACAATGTACAAATCTTATGTGCAAGATCATCACATATATGCGTTGAAAATTGATTCCATAATTGTAGCAACCCTCACCTTATTCTTGTCATACTTGCATACGTTCATGCATGATTTTGTCTTGTTATGTTGTTTTGAAAGTTTTGCCTTGCCTTGTTTTGTTTAAGTGTTGCTTGCGTGATTTTTTGTTCTTTGCTCGGTGTTTAGCCGAGGTCATCTTGAGCTTAGTTCACCTTTGAACCTTTGTGCTTAGAACGGTTTTGAAACCCTTTGGTTGATCCCACCTTCACCTCGGGCTTGTTGCCGAGATGTTTGCATTTAGTGATCCTCATCCTTGGGCAGGTATGGCCTAGACCGAGGTGTGGCACACCCCGGCCAAGGTGTGGCACAGCTTAGTCAGGTGTCGTCCTCCCTAGCCGATGTCTTTGTTACCCTGTTACCGAAGCTTTGACTTGAGCCGATGTCATTACTTGCTGATGTGTCTTACCCGAGCTTGCTGCGTACGCTTTGTCATAGACTTGTCTTATCAATCAATCACCTTTTTGAGTTGAACCAACCCGATAGCGCCACGTGTCCGAGCTGATTGTTAAGACAACCGGCAGACCTTGAAACAAATCATTTTGTCTCAAATCTTTGCCTTTAGAGAGAGAGAAGCTCTAGAGGAAGGAGGAGAAGTTCTTGAGTGAGAAATAGATCTCCCAAGCTTGATCTTCGAGGTTTGAACCGTTAGATTGAGTTTTGAGGTTAGAATCTTGATCTACCTTGATTGTTGTTATTGATCATCTAGCTGCATTGCATGATCGAATCTGTTTTGCATGTCATGCATCGATTTGAAGTTGGTTTTGGGAGAGAAAAAATGGTATTCATGTGTTCTTGAAGAAAAGTCTCGTTTTGATCCGAAAGTTTGGAACCAAAACCATGTTTTGTGTTTATTCTTGCATGACCTTCTTGTATGGGTACCCAGGTCCCTGTTTTGAACTCTTGGTATGAAATCTTTGATTTTGTAACAAGTTATGATCTTGCATTCATCATCTTCATGATCATGTTCATCATGTCCTTCATGTTCTTCAAGGGAACCCAGGCTTTCCCGACTTTGCTTTTGAATAAGGCCATTGGGACCACACCTCGGCAAGGAGGTGTAGGACCTCGGCAAGGACCTGGTTGGTACCCAGTGTATTTCCATGAGACGGGAGCAGTGTTTAAACTCCCAGCATGTTTTTCTTTGTTATTGACTCGGATCTGGCGAGAATGCCGGGATCATTCGCATACATGAAAAGCTTGTTTTGAGAATGTGATTGCCGTGTGATTGTAGGACCTTGATCTTCGCTTTGAGCTTGCACCTGAAGAACTAGGTGAGTGGTATTTCTAATAAAGTTATGTTATATTGTTTTGAGAAATCTTGCTTTGCTTTGTTTTGACGAAAGTATTTGTTAAGCATGAATGAATAGCCCTGTTTTGATGTATCAAGTATAAGCTTTGTTTTGATGTCATTCTTGAAAAGTCCCTTGTACTGGAGGACTCTAAACTTTCGCAGTACCAAGTGTAAAAGTCCCTTGTGCTGGAGGACCCTAAACTTTCGCAGCACTAAGTATAAAAGGATACGGTCCTTTCTTGGAAAGATAAACTTTCGCAGTACTATGTGTAAAGGATACGGTCCTTGTTAAAGTGGGCTACGGGCCTAAGTAACACCAGATCATCGTGTTAAAAGGAGCTACGGGCTTAAGTAACACAAGTCCCTTGTGCTGGAGGACTATAAACTTTCGCAGCACCTTGACTAATCGATTACGGATCGTGCAGTCCTTGTTTTGCCACTGACGGTTTACCGTGTGGACTTCTTTGTTCGGAAATTTTTGATGTGTTTAGCCGATGTCAGTAAGTACCCCTTGAGACTTGTAAGACTTGATAGATGAATACGGTTCATCCCTTGTTTAGTTAAAGCTTTGATGTGTTTTGCTCTGGAAGAATCTCGGCTAATATTCGTATGGTTTTAGCATGTTTTGTTTTGAAAGACTTCGGCTATATTCATGCAAAACCTTTATAATTAGTACCATTCACTGAGTATCCAAGCTCACCCCTCTCTATATATATGTAGGTGATGAGCTGGACGTCGGCGACGCCTAGATGTGTTTTTTTTTGAAAGCTTGTTTTGGATCCATGATTTTGTCGGCCTTGTTTTGTATTTGCGTCGGCGATGTTATTTATTCATGTTGGCAATTCTTGAAAATTATGCTTCTTGGCTTGTAATCACTGTATTTTGTATACGTCGGCTCGAGAAGCCTTTTGATCAAGATGTAATACGTATTTTACTTTATTGTATTCAAGTTGTTAAGATGTATGCCATATCATTGGACTTATGCACAACTCTTATGGACTACTTGTATTTTGATTTATTGCTTCCGTATTTGTGTGCCCCTATATCCATACTCTGATTGTGTTAAACTTTTGAAAGTTGGCCTTCGGTAATTACGGATTACTGGCCATCTCGGCACCAAGCTACTAGGGGCGGTTTGCGGTCGTGACAAAATGGTATCAGAGCACAAGTTCCTCAGTATACGTTATTCACACACTTTGAGTCCTAAAGAGCATAGGATTTCCCTTAGGAAGATGTTACGGTTGCATCATGGTGCTTGCTATTTGAACAAGGTGTGCATTGTCTTGACATGCCTATCTGTTACTTGTCTACGTGGTTGTTTGCTTATTTGCTTTAAAGTCACACTTTGCATGCTCATAGCATCATGAGGAGAGGTAGACCTCCAACTGGCCGGGATCAGCCCGAGGACAGAATAGACAGACTGGAAAGATTAGTTGAAGGTTTGGCTCGCGAGTTGAGGCAAACAAGACAGTAGTACGCTAGTGCTACGTCGACTCAGGCCGAGCAGACCAACGGCCGAAATGTAGTGCCGCCTCCACCTCCTCCAGTGCCGCAAGTTCCTCCACAGCCAGCCTTATATGGGGATGGCACGATAGCTCTGATTAGGGAGTTCAAGAAAATGAAACCGCCGAGATTCTCTGGGGGTATAGAGCCAATGAAGGCTGAGGCGTGGGTTTTGGAAATGGAAAAGTTGTTCGAGATCTTTCCTAGCACCGACGCTCAGAAGGTGACGTTGGCAGCATTCACCTTAGATGATGACGCTTGTAGAGGGTGGATGATGGTTCGAGAAAGCAATCCAGATCTGACCTGGACCAGATTCTTAGAGTTGTTCTACAACAAACACTTTCCCCTAAGTGTTCGAAACCGCAAGGCTACCGAATTTCATACTTTGACACAAGGCAACCGAACAGTGGCGGAATACGACCGCGCTTTTACTGAATTGGCGAGGTTTGTACCTCACATGGCCAATAATGAATACATGAAGGCCAGGAAGTTCGAGAGTGGGCTACGCGGACCAATTCAAGACCGGGTCAACTTGCATAATATGCCGACTTACGCCGAAGTATTGGACAAAGCCATTCAGGCCGAGGCTAACCTGAATCGATACCAGAGTTCGGGGGAGAACCAGCGAAAGAGACAGAACTATGACAATCGCCGAGGACAGCGGGGCACCAAGAAGAAGCCGAACGTGGGCAGTGCTGGTAACCTAAGGCAGGAAGGTAGTGCTAAACCGACGTGTTCGGATTGTGGGAAGCAACATTTCGGGGTTTGTCGACGGAAGTCTGGAGCTTGTTATGAATGTGGCGAAGTGGGTCATTATGTAAAAGATTGCCCTAAGACCAAGACCGATAACAACAAGAAAGGTGAGAGTACCTTGGGTTCTGCTCAGAAGGGTAATGTTGGGAAAGGGCAGATGAGACAGGGCAGAGTATTTGCGCTAGTACCAGGGGACACTCAGAATGCTGAGACAGTGGTGTCAGGTATACTCCTAATTTGTTCCCAAGATGCTTATGTGTTAATTGATTCGGGTTCTACGCACTTGTTTGTATCTGCTAAATTTGCCGAGAAAATTGATAGAGAACTAGAGCCCCTCGATTATGTGTTATCTTTGTCTACTCCATTTGGGAGATCTATGATTGTTGCAGCCATCTATAGAGCATGTGTTGTTGTGATTGAGAATGTTGAATTGTTAGTAGATTTAATGCCTCTGGACGTAGCTCATTTCGATGTTATACTGGGAATGGATTGGTTAGTCGCAAATCATGCATCTATTAATTGTGTTTTGAAAAGTGTCACACTGAGACCCCCAAACCTAGCCGAGGTTATTTTCCAGGGTAAAGGGATAGTGCCCCCACCTTATTTGGTTTCGTCTATTAAAGCCTATAAGTTAATTCAGAAAGGGTGTCGAGGCTACTTGTGTAGTATACTGAACGATTAGAATGGAAATATTAATCTAGCCAACATCCCAGTTGTTAATGAATTCCCCGACGTCTTCCCAAACGAATTCCCTGGCCACTTAGTCGATAGAGAAATAGAGTTTACTGTTGATATCATGTCGGGAACACAGCCGATCTCCAAAACGCCCTATAGGATGGCCCCTGCTGAACTTAGAGAATTGAAACTGCAATTACAGGAATTGTTGGATAAGGGATTTATTAGGCCGAGCACTTCACCATGGGGAGCACCTGTTTTATTTGTTAAGAAAAAGGATGGCACACTCCGTCTTTGCATTGACTACAGAGAACTTAATAAGGTGACCATCAAGAACAAGTACCCATTGCCTAGAATCGACGATTTGCTTGATCAACTACGAGGAGCACGAGTCTTTTCCAAGATTGACCTTAGGTCGGGCTACCACCAGTTGAAGGTTAAAGCCGAGGACATCGAGAAAACTGCTTTTCGGACAAGATATGGCCACTACGAATTCTTGGTAATGCCCTTCGGAGTAACCAATGCCCCAGCAGCATTTATGGACTTGATGAACAGAGTCTTTAAGCCGTACCTAGATGAGTTTGTCATTATTTTTATCGACGACATATTGATCTATTCCGGGAGTACGAGCGAGCACGAGAATCATCTGAGACTTGCCCTGCAGACCTTGAGAGATAAAAAGTTGTACGCCAAGCTAAGTAAATGCGAGTTTTGGCTTTCCAGCATTTCATTTCTAGGGCATGTGATTAATGAAGACGGTATATCAGTTGACCCCAGTAAGATTGAAGCCATTGTGAATTGGCCGACGCCGACCAACGTGTCCGAGGTTCGTAGTTTTCTGGGTTTGGCAGGTTATTACAGGAAGTTTGTGAAGGATTTCTCAAGGATTGCAATTCCATTGACACAATTGACTAAGAAGGGAACACTGTATGAATGGACTAAAGATCGGGAGTCAGCTTTCCAGGAACTGAAGACGAGGTTAGTTACAGCACCAGTACTCGTACTTCCATCAGGTAACGAAGAATTTCATATCTATAGCGATGCTTCACATAGGGGCTTGGGTTGTGTGTTAATGCAAGGGGGTAAGGTTATAGCTTATGCATCTCGTCAGTTGAAACCCCATGAGAAGAACTATCCTACCCATGATTTAGAATTGGCGGCCGTGGTATTTGCTCTGAAGATTTGGCGTCACTATTTGTATGGAGCTTCTTGTCAGGTTTTTACAGATCATACGAGTTTAAAGTACCTGTTCACTCAGAAGGAATTGAATTTGAGACAGAGAAGGTGGCTTGAGTTGTTGAAAGACTATGATATGCAAATTCAATATCACCCAGGTAAAGCTAACAGTGTAGCCGATGCTTTGAGCAGAAAGGCAGATGGAAATTTGGCGTGTTTGACCATGTTAGCAGTAGAGCCGACTATTGTTGATGAGGTAAAGACGAGACAGATGGAGGATAAATTTTTCAAGAAAATAGCCGAGGAAATTGTCACAAAGCCGAGATCAGGGTATACCATCGAAAGTCAAGTACTCAAGTTTGAAGGAAGGTTATGTGTGGCCGACATCCCATAGTTAAAAAGGATGATTTTGCAAGAAGCCCACAACTCTAAATTTGTTGTTCATCCAGGGAACACTAAGATGTATCAGGATGTGAAACAGACGTTTTGGTGGCCAAACATGAAAAGAGAAATAGCCGAATTCGTGTCCCAGTGTTTGCATTGTCAACAAGTGAAAGCAGAACATCAAAGACCGGCAGGACTTCTTCGACCTTTGCCGATTCCTGAGTGGAAATGGGAACACATCTCCATGGATTTTGTGATTGGTTTGCCGAAGACACCGAAGGGTATGGATTCGATTTGGGTTGTTGTTGATAGATTAACTAAGTCAGCACACTTTCTACCTGTTAAGACTACCTTCAACGCCGATGAACTTGCCTTGCTATATGTGAACGAAATTGTTAGACTTCACGGAGTGCCGATGTCAATTGTGTCAAACCGAGATCCTAAATTTGTTTCTAGATTTTGGCAGAGTCTATAGAGGGCTTTCGGAGCCGAGCTGAGATTTAGTACAGCTTTTCATCCCCAGACGGATGGGCAGACAGAGAGGACAATTCAGACACTTGAAGATATGCTTAGACTTTATGTATTGGACTTCCTAGGGAGTTGGGGAACACATTTGCCCTTAGTGGAATTCGCTTACAGCAACAGTTATCAAGCTAGCATTGGCATGGCGCCGTATGAAGCCTTGTACGGAAGGAAGTGTAGGTCGCCGATATGCTGGACCGAAGTTGGGGACAGAGCTCTGCTTGGCCCCGAATTGATTCAAGTAACAACAGAGAAGATTAAACTTATCCAATAGAGGATTAAGACTGCCTAGAGCCGACAAAAGAGCTACGCCGACCAGAGAAGGAATGAGTTAGAATTTGATGTTGGGGATCATGTATTCCTGAAAGTTTCACCAACGAAAGGAGTTTCCAGATTTGGGAAGAAAGGTAAGTTAGCACCTCGTTATATTGGGCCATTTGAAATTCTTGACAAGGTTAACTCCGTTGCCTACAGACTTGCTTTGCCACCAGATTTAAGCCAGATCCACAATGTGTTTCATGTTTCGATGTTGAGGAAGTACATTTGAGATCCACTGCACATAATTGATCATTCTGGAATTTCGGTTAATGAGGACCTGGGCTACGAGGAGAAGCCAATGAGGATTATTGACAGGCAGGTGAGACAGTTGAGAAACAAATCGTTACCAATGGTAAAGGTCGAATGGAAGGAGCATTATGGCACAGAGGCCACGTGGGAAAAGGAAGAAGATGTGAGAATCCGTTATCCGGAGTTGTTTATAGAGCAAGGTAATTTAAGTTTGGGGACCAAACTTCTTTAAGGGGGGTAGAATGTAGCAACCCTCACCTTATTCTTGTCATACTTGCATACGTTCATGCATGATTTTGTCTTGTTATGTTGTTTTGAAAGTTTTGCCTTGCCTTGTTTTGTTTAAGTGTTGCTTGCGTGATTTTTTGTTCTTTGCTCGGCATTTAGCCGAGGTCATCTTGAGCTTAGTTCACCTTTGAACCTTTGTGCTTAGAACGGTTTTGAAACCCTTTGGTTGATCCCACCTTCACCTCGGGCTTGTTACCGAGATGTTTTGCACTTAGTGATCCTCGTCCTTGGCCAGGTATGGCCTAGACCGAGGTGTGGCACACCCCGGCCAAGGTGTGGCACAACTTAGTCAGGTGTCGTCCTCCCTAGCCGATGTCTTTGTTACCCTGTTGCCGAAGCTTTGACTTGAGCCGATGTCATTACTTGCCGATGTGTCTTACCCGAGCTTGCTATGTACGCTTTGTCATAGACTTGTCTTACCAATCAATCACCTTTTTGAGTTGAACCAACCCGATAGCGCCACGTGTCCGAGCTGATTGTTAAGACAGCCGGCAGACCTTGAAACAAATCATTTTTTTCTCAAATCTCTACCTTTAGAGAGAGAAGCTCTAGAGAGGATGAGGAGAAGTTCTTGCGTGAGAATAGATCTTCCAAGCTTGATCTTCGAGGTTTGAACCGTTAGATTCGAGTTTTGAGGTTAGAATCTTGATCTACCTTGATTGTTGTTATTGATCATCTAGCTGCATTGCATGATCGAATCTGTTTTGCATGTCATGCATCGATTTGAAGTTGGTTTTGGGAGAGAAAAATGGTATTCATGTGTTCTTGAAGAAAAGTCTCGTTTTGATCCGAAAGTTTGGAACCAAAACCATGTTTTTCTGTTTATTCTTGCATGACCTTCTTGTATGGGTACCCAGGTCCCTGTTTTGAACTCTTGGTATGAAATCTCTGATTTTGTAACAAGTTATGATCTTGCATTCATCTTCTTCATGATCATGTTCATCATGTCCTTCATGTTCTTCAAAGGGAAACCCAGGCTTTCCCGACTTTGCTTTTGAATAAGGCCATCGGGACCACACCTCGGCAAGAAGGTGTAGGACCTCGGCAAGGACCTGGTTGGTACCCAGTATATTTCCATGAGACGGGAGCAGTGTTTAAACTCCCAGCATGCTTTGCTTTGTTATTGACTCGGATCTGGTGAGAATGCCGGGATCATTTGCATACATATAAAGATCGTTTTGAGAATGTGATTGCCATGTGATTGTAGGTCCTTGATCTTTGCTTTGAGCCTACACCCGAGGAGATCTAAGTGAGTGGTATTTTTAATAAAGCTATGTTATACTGCTTTGATAAATCTTGCTTTGCCTTGTTTTGACGAAAGTATTTGTTAAGCATGAATGAATAGCCCTGTTTTGATGTATCAAGTATAAGCTTTGTTTTGATGTCATTCTTGAAAAGTCCCTTGTACTGGAGGACTCTAAACTTTCGCAGCACTAAGTATAAAAGGATACGGTCCTTTCTTGGAAGTTCTATTATGTTAAAGTGGGCTACGGGCCTAAGTAACACCAGATCATCGTGTTAAAAGGAGCTACGGGCTTAAGTAACACAAGTCCCTTGTGCTGGAGGACTATAAACTTTCACAGTACCTTGACTAATCGATTACGGATCGTGCAGTCCTTGTTTTGCCACTGACGGTTTACCGTGTGGACTTCTTTGTTCGGAAATTTTTGATGTGTTTAGCCGATGTCAGTAAGTACCCCTTGAGACTTGTAAGACTTGATAGATGAATACGGTTCATCCCTTGTTTAGTTAAAGCTTTGATGTGTTTTGCTTTGGAAGAATCTCGGCTAATATTTGTATGGTTTTAGCATGTTTTGTTTTGAAAGACTTCGGCTATATTCATGCAAAACCTTTATTATTAGTACCATTCACTGAGTATCCAAGCTCACCCCTCTCTATATATATGTAGGTGATGAGCTGGACGTCGGCAACGCCTAGATGTGTTTTTTTTTGAAAGCTTGTTGTGGATCCATGATTTTGTCGGCCTTGTTTTGTATTCGCGTCGGCGATGTTATTTTATTCATGTCGGCAATTCTTGAAAATTATGCTTCTTGGCTTGTAATCACTGTATTTTGTATACGTCGGCTCGAGAAGCCTTTTGATCAAGATGTAATATGTATTTTACTTTATTGTATTCAAGTTGTTAAGATGTATGCCATATCATTGGACTTATGCACAGCTCTTATGGACTACTTGTATTTTGATTTATTGCTTCCGCATTTGTGAGCCCCTATATCCATACTCTGATTGTGTTAAACTTTTGAAAGTTGGCCTTCGGTAATTACGGATTACTGGCCATCACGGCACCAAACTACTAGGGGCGGTTTGGGGTCGTGACAATAATGCACATGGAATTAGTGGAGAGCACTGGGTGAGAATAATACTAAACAATCTCCTCAATTGATATCCAGTTTTTACGACTGCAGCCTCTTTGAAGCATTGTATCCATTCTTCATCATCTTCTAAAAGCCCCCTTGCAATACATGCTAATTTAAATGTATCATGCACAACATTATCGACCGTGCGTAAAGACTGAAACGACTTTGGTCCTTTGACAACGGTTAGTAACAAACGTAGATAAAATCTTTCACCACAATTAGGGCTAGCAAAGTACATTCTACCAATTGCATATCCCCTTTCTCTTGATTTCCATCTCTTTTCCGACTTAAGCAAAACAAAATGCTATGAAAATTCTTGATAAATGAATGGACATTCATCTTCACTGGCAGCATAATATTCAAAGAAGCTAGTAAGAGTTGACATTTGTTGACCAACTCTAGATTGAATCACTTCTAATGAATCTTTTGGGTTAAAAACAACGCGATGCATTCCAGATAAATGAAGTGCCAATTGTACAGCTGTTGGCATCTTTGTATGCAAAGGATGACCAAATATTCACTAAGCAGCTTTTAGAGGTCCAATATATCTTGTATCAAGATTTTGTTGAATCTCATTTATCAATCCTAACACCATCATTGTATGATCATAACCCTTGTAAATGTACTTATGTATATACTTGACACATCTCATTCCAGCACAAACTTCCACATTTATTTGATAGTTGAAAAGTTTAGAAAGCTTGACACATCTCATTCCGGCACAAACTTCCACATTTATATGACAGTTGAAAAGTTTTGAAAGATATACATTGTATGGTACGACATCCCTATTATCAACTTCTTGCCCTCTTACAGTATGTACTTGACCATTATTGCGACGACGATAGATAGGATATCCATCTTGATCCATAGTTGTTGTTTCTGTGAAAGCTCGAGGGTATCTCTTAGTGCATCTACCATTTTCCATACATGGTGCTTGCAGATTTCGAGCACCACATGGTCCATGTACCATAGAACATTTGATAGTTTCAAAAAGCATAGGATCATCTTTTGGGTCTGGAAATTCTGCACACACCAATTTGTCTACTTGAGCACATGTCCGAATTTTGTCTGGACCCTTGAGAAATAAAAGTGCATGCATATGAGGGAGGCCTCATTTTTAAAATTCAATTGTAAAAACATGTGCAACTTTATTTCCAAACACTTTATTTGTTTCTATCTCCTTCATCAAACATTTTTTCTTCAACTCAAAAACACGGGCAATTAAATCAGGACGATCGATAGGTTTTTGATATGGTAATAATGCTGAAGTAATTTCTAGCCAATTGGGATTTGTAGTCATGGTAAGAAAAATATCTGGGTGTTGGTTGTATTGTGTGATAGCCATTGAATCTTGAAAGATTTCAAACATATGTCTAGGACTACCAGTAAATGAAGATGGCAAAACAAACCTTTGACCAATTTGTCCAGGTCGCACATAATCTGGATCCATATCTGACAACTCTTGGTAAAGCTCAGCTCGAAGTTTCCCTTGATTAAGCTTGTAGTATGTCAATCGATTTTGCTCAGTTGCAGCCCAAGCATCTACCAAAAACTCTTGAAATAGTTTCCCACCTCTCAAAATTGTTGAATACTCTGTGGGTCGTTCAAACAAACGATAACTATAAAAATTCATTTGAGTAAGTCGATCAGTTGAAGGTCGATCATACTGAACATTCCACAATTTCAACTCAGGTTCCCATCCAAGCTCACCATATGGAACATAATGTAATGGCAAGTATGCTGGGTGACATTCATTAATTTGCATCAATTCATTATTTCCTCGGAAATGTAAAATAATATCTCTTATTCCATTTACCTCTGTTCCATCACCTGGTATTACAATTGCAATCTCATCTGTAGTTGGTAGGTTATACCGACGTCGATCAGTTGTTGAACTGTAATGAAGATGAGCAGGTAGATTGTGTCCTGCCGAGTCTAATTGATGTAAAATGGCATGAGCCTGGCGATATTTATCTACAAATGCATTGACTTGCAACAAACTATCCTGAATAGTTTTGAGAACATCCCTTCTCAAGTTAGGATTTCTACGATTACGAATTTCTAAAGCTGAATAAGGGTCATAGATATATAGCTGAGCATAACTCGCATCCTGCCCTGGTTGTGGTTGTAGTGATCCCGTTCGATGTTGTAATTCCCCATGAATTGTGAATGATATAGGGCCCCTTCCACTGAGTACTCTAGGATCCAATGTAACACCAAGACTCGTAAAAGCATTGGCTGCATTGTACACTCGAGTATAACTTCGAAAGGATTTTGATTGATCATTATTCCCATCATACAATGCTTGAAGTGGTGGAGGGGGTGTAATAAGTAAAGGTAGCCTAATCTTTCCTTCCAAACAGCAAGTTCCGAATAAGGGACGCTTTATAGATGATTTTGTCAATTTTTCATCCATCCAATGTAAGGCTGAACAATAAGGACATAATACATCCATCTTGCCAAGATAATGGTGGCAAGAATCGTTGTGTGCCCGGGCGCCAATTGATATACTCGTAGGCAGATCTTCTAATTCATCATCAGTACATAGATCTTGTTGAAGAAATCGATTTATAGGAGTAGACCTACAAATATTTGTGTATAAATAAAATTCTGTAAAACAAAATGGTATGAGTAAAAGTATGCATTGAAGATGTGAGAATCTGAAGATGTGCTTGAAGAAATCGATTTATAGGAGTAGACACAGTAGTTTACTGATTCCTTTGTGAATTTGAAGATGTGCTTGGCATAGAAAACGAACATGTAGAATGATAGGTAACCATTGTTCGTTTTTGTGCCGACTGAGAATCTTCAGTTATTGTTTCCCACTCCAAGTGAGTGCGATCGCGACGAATTGGTGTTAAAGAACGTTGTTTTATTTGAACACATTCTTCTAATCCCTCTTGCTCTCGTTGCAAGCATTGAAATTCAATTTTTTCACGCTCTCGCCGTGCCCGTTGGGCCAATGCAGCTTTTGATATTACATTATCATTTTGTGCCTAAAAAGAAAATATTTTATCATTGAAGCAAAATATGTGAATATTTTGTGTTTAAAATGAAACTATTGTCACGCCCTCAAAATAAACCCATTATACATATATCCTTGACATGCAATATTTAAAGAAAACAATTAACTAAAGACAGACTTCACAATCCAAAAGCCAAATCCTCCCAAGCTAAGTCCTTGGAGGTAGCTTATCACCTGAACCTGAAAATGATGTTCCCATAAAGGGTGAGCCACAACCCAGTAGAAAAATACTAAACCAAATATAAGCATTGAATAAAGCTATAGCATTCAATAGATGGTTAACCAAGATAATCAGTTATAACTAAATACAGTCTCATGACATTAATGTCTATGACATGTTTCAATTCCCATTATTATCAATTATGGCTCAGAACCTGGCCAAACTTACATCAGTGAACTATATAACATATTCACATTACTTTCAATATCACATTACTTCCAATGTCAACAACACAGATGAGACTCAGGCTCATATCAAAACACTTCATACTTCCCGTTTGATACACATTGTAGTGCTGTATCAATAACATGTAAAAACACTTCAATATAATAAGCACACATAATAGTGATGCTAATGGAGTCCATCCCCTATCTCCTCCCAAACAAAATCCGGTTTAGAGGTCCATCCCCTATCTTCCCCTAAACCGTGGAGTACATCCCCTATCTCCTCCCAAACAATATGCATATGCAATGCTCAATCAATACATGTATTTTCTGTATTAATTCAATAGTCCAAATTTATGACTTAAACAAATTGATTAGTTTCAATTTTCCCTAATCCACATGCAATGTCGACAACAAACACAACTATCCTCCACCGATAGCCCAAAACAGTTATTTCTAGACTGGAAATAAATATATCAACAATTCAATAAGCGAGTGATTTAAATCATCCAACTACATCATTTAATCAATGAATTCCTCAATTTCATGAATTTAACCAATTTTCCCAATTTCCTTAAATTAATTATACAAATTAATTTATTACTACAACTAGGGTTTTTCCCAAAATTACCAAAGTACCCCCAACATATCAAAATACCAAAACTTAGAACAAAACTTATAAGATGGAGTAGGAAATCCCTACCTCGAAGAAAATAACCCGAATGGAGAAGACGGAGATGATGACCTAAAAGCCAAAGTGCTCCAAAACTACAAACTCTCAGATTAAAACGAAGCTCTCGACTCACTCTATCTTTTTAATAAAGCAACTAGGGTAGAAACACCCTAAAAGGTGATGAAACCTAAGAGAGAAGGTGAGTAGAGGGAGAGAGAACTTGGAACTAGGGTTTTAGGATCAAAATTATGTGAAAAAACGTTTTAAAAACCGCTGCTGTGTATATAAACCCGACAGGCTCGCTCGAGCGAACACTTGGTCGCTCGAGCGACCAGACACACGAAAAGCTCGCTCGAGCCAAGAATGCAATGCTTCAGGTCTGCAACCCAGGAGCACGCTCGAGCGACAGAATGCTCGCTCGAGCGAGGAACTCGAACAAACACCATGCTCGCTCGAGCGAAGAAAAACTCAATCGAGCGAAGAAACACTGCTCTCAGGTCTATACTAGATGCAACCGCTCGCTCGAGCGAGGAAAATCTGACTCGAGCCACCAGACACAAAATACAACCCTTGCTCGAGCGACCAAGCCCTCGCTCGAGCGACCAAGCCCTCGCTCGAGCGACTAACCCAAAAACTGGACAGCAACACTTGGTTTCCGAACCCAACCAACCTGAAACAAACCTGCCCAACACATCCTATAACTCCAAATGAGAAAATAAAGGACGACAACAACAATTATACAATGACAGAATATACGGAACCTAAGTCCGGATACAATAATCAAATGGGAGAAAGACCAGGGTCGCTATACTATCTTCTTATTTCTTCCCTTTCTCTTAATTTTGTTTTCTATTTTATTTGTTTTATACCTTTAATAGTGTTATCTTTATTTCTTATTTCTTCCCTTTCTATCTTCTTATTTCTTCACTTTCCCTTTCCCTTTCTTTGTTTTCTATTTTATATATTAAATAAGAATTAAAAGCCTATCTTATTTAGTTTCTCCTTTCTTTATACTTTTTTTCTTTATTTCTTCGTTTCTTTTTTCCTATTCTCTTTATATAAGTAGCAACTTATGGATGGTACATTATAAATGCATATGTATCCATGCAAAATAAGAATAAATAAATTTGAAAAACACATACAAATAAGAGCAAGTTACAGGAAAACATATTACAATCATTCTACAAAAACAACATAAAACAATAAATTCATTTTACACACTCATATATTTTAACTATTCAAATTTTGATTAGTTTTGCATCATATTTTTAAAAAAGAATATATACCACTTGTCATACATTTGTCATTCTCTTGCCGGAAGGAGCCATCTTTTCTTTTCCTTTAGACATTGGGTTGACCTTTTCTTTATCTTTTGCCTAACAAATATAAATAAAATATTGAAAAGATTAAAAAAAATCTTATATAATCTTATATAAATAAAATACATACAATGTTTGACTTGATTTTGTATTTACCGCACGAACACGGATAACATGAAGGTCGTGCTCATCACGGATGACCACACCAACATTTCTACATGGAGTTGTAGGAGGAGGCCTACAGAAATAGATTGTGAACAAATTAAAATCTATATAATAAAGTGGTAATAGTAAGAGTAAAAAATTCAAGATTGTCTTGGGTAAAAAATTCTTTTTCTTTTTACCAATTTGGTGTTAAAGAAGGTTGTTTTGGGTTAATACATTTCTTCGATCTTTCTCTTTCTCGTTCTCGTCGCAGGCGTTGTCCCAATTGGTATGCAGAACATGGCTTTTGATTTTTTTTCACATTCTCGCCGTGCACGTTGGGCCAATGCAGCTTTTGATAACACATTATCATTGTGTGCCTAAAATGAGAACATTATATAAGAATGTGCATAAAATGTGAAGATTAACTAACTTGCTTCCCTTTCATCATGTATTTTTTCTTCCTTTTAACTAACTTTTCCTCTTCACTCGGTTAAGTTGTTAGTCATATAAGAACCAATACATGTATTTATGAAATTTAAAAAGGAAGGGAAAAATAATTTGAAAACACAAAACTGCAAACTCACTATGCACGTACTTATTGGTTTTAAGACACTACCCATCTCTTTACAAAATGTATGTTAAAAAGGTAAATATTAAATCATTGGGTACGTAAAATGTGAATATTAGTGTGTAATGTCTTGTACTTTCCTTTTCTCTCTTCTTGTTGTTTCTGTTATATTAAAATGTATTTTTGTCTTTTTTTTCTTTCCTTAAGAACTTCTTACAAGAAAAATAAAAATTAAAAAAAATTATATTATGTAGTTTCCTTTTCATCACATATATAACTCCAAATGAGAAAATAAAGGACGACAACAACAATTATACAATGACAGAATATACGGAACCTAAGTCCGGATACAAAATCAAATGGGAGAAAGACCAGGGTCGCTATACTATCTTCTTATTTCTTCCCTTTCTCTTAATTTTGTTTTCTATAATTTTGTTTTCTTTCTTCTTATTTTCCTTTTTCATTTTCTTCTATTTTATTTTTATTATGCTATGTTGTAGATGCAACATATTGTACAAATGCAACATATTTTTATCAAACAAATAGACAAACATATTAAAAATTCAAATTAATGTTCATACAAATGCATTAGCATGTTGTACAAATGCTTACTTTAACATGCTTCAGAAAAACATTTCACATTCAATAAAAAGAATTGAATAAATTTTTGAAAAAGAAATATAGCGACCCTGGTCTTTTTCCTTTTGGTTGTTGTATCCGGACTTAGGTTCCCTGGATTCTCTCATTGTATAATTGTGGTTGTCATCCTTTATTTTCTCTTTTTGAGTTATCGGATGTGTTGGGCAGGTTTGTTTTAGATTGGTTGGGTTTGGAAACCAGGTGTTACTATCCAGAATTTGGATTGGTCGCTCGAGCGAGAGTTTGGTCGCCCGAGCGAGGGTTGAGTTTTGTGTCTGGTGGCTCGAGCCAGGGTTTCTTCGCTCGAGCGAGCGTTTGCGTCTAGAATAGACCTGAGAGCAGTGTTTCTTCGCTCGAGCGAGCTTCTTCTCTCGAGCGAGCGAGGTGTATGTTTTCGAGTTCTTCGCTCGAGCGAGCGTTTCTTCGATCGAGCGAGCTTCTGGGTTGCAGACCTGAAGCATCGAGTTTTTGGCTCGAGCGAGATTTTCTTCGCTCGAGCGAGGCTTTCCTGTGTCTGGTAGCTCGAGCGACCAAGTCTTCGCTCGAGCGAGCCTGTCCAGTTTAAATAGGCAGCAGCGGGTTTTGATCAGTCTTTTCATCCTCTTCTAGTTTCCAAACCCTAGGTCCGACTTCTCTCTCTCTAAACTCATCTTCTTTCTAGGTTTTCATCTACTTCTAGTGTGAATCCATCTTAAGTTCTTTGTAAGAAAGATAGAGGGCGTCTTGGGCTTCATTCTAATCTGAGAAATAGTGGATTTGGAGCACTTGGATTTCGGGTCATCATCTCTTTTTGAGTTCTCCTTTGAGGTAGGGATTCTCCTTGTTTCTTTTCAATACTTCGTCTATAGATAGACATGTGGTAGTTTTTTTGTATTGCATAAAAATTGTATCATGTTGGATTTGTGAAAATCATGGGACTGAACCTTGGGTTGGTTATTGAATTTGGGTTTATTATCATTAGTTATGATTTGGGCTAATTGGGGTGTTAATTAGCATGTGGTTGTTGAAAGGAGAGGAAACCCTAAATTTTCTTATTCGATTTAATAGATTAATTGAGGGGTTTAGATCTTTGGGCAAATACTTAGGTATTTTGAGTCTTAATTGTGGTTATTGTTGTTTGTTGATGTTAATTAGGCCTTTTTGGTCAATATTGAGAAAGATGAAGGAAAGACCCTAATTTATTGTTTATGACTTAATGTGCATAATTAGTTTGGATTGGCTTTGAAAAGAATGTAGTGAATTTAAATGAAGTATGGCTTTTGTCCATAGGAAATGATTTTGTGAAAACAAAGGAAGTGGAATTCATTTTGTGAAATGGGAAAGGTATTTTGAAACAAGTATAAGAAAATTGGAATGTTGTACCTTGAGTGTTGAACACACTTGTGTGGGGTATAGCTTTAACTACCATGTTCATGTTGTTGCTGAGTTTTGTAATCTCATGTTAGTTGGGTCTGTTAATAGATGTACAATATGCATGCATCTAGAGATTTTGTCTTGGTCATCGGTGGAGGATGATACGGCTGCGTTGAATTGTTGTGTATGTATTACACCATTGTTGATTGAACATCGTATGTGATGAAATGCTGAATTACATTATATTTGTATACTGGTTCGGGAGAAGAGAGGGGTTGTACTCCAGTGTGTGTGAGAAGATAGGGGATGGACTGTAACGCCCTCAAAATAACAACATTAAACCCATCAATAAGGATATGCATTGATATGTAAAAGTTCCTCATTCTTCCATTTATCAGAGTTTCATTACAAAAAGTATTACATGTTAACAACAAAAGCAAATGCCTTATGGGCTTATAGCTTTCCAAGTTAACACTTGGTTACAACAAAAGAGTACTAACTCATTTACACCTTAAGCCCTTGGCTTGAATTTACATGTAATACATCAAAATAAAACGACAAAAGTATGTCCGCCTCTAGCCTCCCAAGCTATGTCCTTGGAGGTGGCATGCTACATATACCTGAAAATGATATTCCCATATAGGGTAAGCCACAGCCCAGTAGAAATACACTAAACCAACCATGAATAATGACTAAAAGATTAGCAATTGATAGATGGCCAACACTGATACATTCACATAAATCACATATTTATGTCATACGCCTCATGAGTCCAAGTTACTTTTCATTTTCCCTTTTTCAACAGATAAGCATGTTAGCTCTATCATTATTTCAACATATATGTATAAAAACTATATCCCACATTCACAGATAAGCATATAAGCTCTATCTTCACTTCTCTAGACAAGCATATGAGCTGTATCTACGGAGTTCATCCCCTATCTTCTCCCAACACTATCCGGTTTAGAGGTACATCCCCTATCTTCCCCTAAACCGCGGAGTACATCCCCCATCTCCTCCTCTACACATAACGTATACAAACACATAGGTTCTATATACAATCACTCAATACATACAGTTAATGTATTCTATCAACTAGAGTGAGAAGCTCTGAAAATACCTTTTTGGAAAAGTAAGAGAGAGAAGAGAAAGCAAAAAGTGATTTGAAAAGGCACAATTTCGGGACTTTAACCCAGTCTCCCGCTCGAGCGTAAAACACCCCGCTCGAGCGGCCACTCACAATGCATTGTCTACAACAATCACGACTATCCTCCACCGATAGCCCAAAGCAGTTATTTCTAAACAGAAAATAAATGCACAAATGGATATTCAATCAACATTTCATTTCGGTGAGTGATAAATAGTTCAACTACACCCTTTAACCTCATATATTCCCAATCTCAACAATTCCATTTCATGTTCTCATTTCTCGCAATTAATTATCCCAATTAATCAAACAATGTAATTAGGTCATTTTCCATAATTAACATTTCAACCCTTAGGTCCCATTTTCATCAATGATTCAACATTTATTCCATTACTCTATGCCGAACATGCATCTAGGTTTATTATAAATAAAACCCCAACTTTTGTAAAATTACACAAAAGCCCCGAACTTTCACAAAATTACCAAACCAACCCCAACATCTCAAAATACTAAAATTTAAAGACAAAACCCATAGAGAGGAGTAGGATATCCCTACCTCGAAGTTTGAGCCAAAAAGGAGATGAAGACTCGAAGATCAACGTGCTCCAAATCCAAACTTTTTCAGACTAAGTCGAAGCTCTCAACGCCCTTTATCTTTTTAACAAAAGCCTTAAGCTAGATTCACACTCTAGGGAGATCAAATCTTAGAGAGAGTGTAGGTTTAGAGAGAGAGAGTCTCGGATCTAGGGTTTGAAAGAAAAAGAAAGTGAAAAACTGATGTACAAAAACGCTACTGACCGCTGATATAAAACACACTCGCTCGAGCGAAGCCTTTGTCGCTCGAGCGACCAGACACAGAAAACTCTCGCTCGAGCCAAGAAGTTCTCGCTCGAGCCGAAAAGTTAGAAGTGCGCTCGAGCGAAAGAATGCTCGCTCGAGCTAACAACTCAAACCCTCAGGTCTGCAACCAGAAGCACGCTCGAGCGACAGACTTCTCGCTCGAGCGAAGAACAAACCAGACCGATCGAGCGAAGGAAGCTCGCTCGAGCCAAGAAATGCAACTCTCAGGTCCAGAACCAGGCGCAATCGCTCGCTCGAGCGAAGCCACCCTGGCTCGATCCACCAGACACGAACTCAACTCTCGCTCGAGCGACCAACTCCTCGCTCGAGCGAAGGTCCAAAAATCTGGGCAGCAGCACTAGGCTCCCAAACACAACCAACCTGTAACAAACCTGCCCAACACATCCTATAACTCAGTATACAAAGTAAAAAGGATGCAAACAAGATAATAAACAACTACCAACATCCACGGACACATGTCCGGATCACTGTACAACAAGGGTAAACCCGGGACCGCTATATGGACTCCACACACCTATGTGTTCATATATCTATACTCTGCGCTTATAATCAGAGGTATCATACCCTTCCAGCTAGCGTCTGGAGAACTGACGCGCTGATAATCTAAGGTACCATACCCTTCCAGCTAGCGCCTGGTAAACTGGTAGATTGTTGTGAAAAGTGTATCTTTGGCTTACTACGCATATAGCTAGTAGAGCAGAGTTGTTTTGTTATTGTTTCAGTGTATCTGGAAACATTGTGGATTGTATTGGTTACAGTGTTGGAGGGACGAGTTGCCTCATTGATTTATTTTATGCATGTAGTTGAGTTGTTATCTCCCTTTTTATAGAGGTGTGCATGGATAACTATGATAGAATTGGGATTGAACTGAAATGCCCTTTAATCTTTTGGAAGTGTAAGAAAATCAAACATTTTAGAAATATGTTTTGAAAAGGCACATCTGTTGTATGTGTGGCAAATGGGAGAGAGTAATGGGCTTAGTGAATCTATTTTCCTAAGTAGTTGTTAATGTTATAAAAGATTGGGAACAGGGGTTAATGAAAGGAAACGGGAAAGATGAATCGCTTATAGCGTTGAATTAAATTGTTGTTTTCGAGAAAAGTTCATATATATATATATATATTTTGTATAAACTGTCACATTATTATTCTAGTATGAGAATGAGTGTTCATGATCATAGCTATCTGTAATGATGTTATTGTTGAGGATCATGTTGAGATCCCTACTGGACTTTATGTTCATCCCACGTTGTTGAATCTTTTTCAGGTGTTTAGCAGGTTGTGCTACAAGATTTGGATCTTCTTATTTGTTGGCCAAGGGGCCTCTTTCTTGTGGGCGGAACACCATATGTGTAAAAGGGTTACACCCCTTCATTTGTTTATTTAAAGGTTGTAAGCCAAGGGCAATTTATTGAGTATGTTCATGTAACATTTACTTTGCATACGAATGAGAGTATTTATATTCATTTCTATGGATTGAATGTATGAGTTTATTTCCGCATGTTATCTCTGAAATTGAATTAAGTTAATGAATTTGGTAATGGCTTCGAGTAATAAAAAGTGGGGCGTGACAAGAAACTTTTGAAAAATGTACATAAAAAATAGTATATGACACTATGCAATTCCTAAAAAAATCTATATAATATTCGAAAAAGAAACTTTTAAAAATTGTTGAGAAACTATACCATGGGATGTGCATTTTCCTTTCCTTTGCCATAAGGAATAGATTTTTTTGTTTTCTTTGACATTGCCTTGTCTTTTTCCTTTGCCTTTGCCTGTAAAAAATAAGTAGAATATATTTATAAATTATTTTTAAAATGATAAGAAAATACATGTCCAATGTTCAAGTGACTTTTAGGCTTACCTCATGAATGCGAATAGTATTAAGGTCACATTTATCGCGAATAACAACATTAACATTTCTTTCTTGAAGAAATCGAACCTATACATACAAAAATTTTAGAGTGATAAATAAAACTTTATACACATAAATAAGAAAATTAGTAAAGGGAGGTGATATTACGGTTCGGTGTAAGTCCCCATCCACCTATAAAGTATGAGGAAAAAAAATAATTAGAATAGTGATATTGTCCATAACTGTTGTACTTAAATTTATAAGAGAGATACTTAAATTTATATGAAGAGAAAAAAGAAGAAAAAAAACTTACTTGACCAAAAATAGTAATATTGTTCATAATTGTTGTACTCCAACCTAAAAATGTTTGGTTATATAATTTTAGACACAAAGAAACAAAAAAATAGCAATAATAAAAGTTAACATGGATTTCATTGGCAATGAAATGTTATTTCCAAATATGTTACTACAAAATCGAATAATCAAATTCAAAATTTTATTTAAATAAATAACTACCATGAATAGAAAATACTTCTAAGAAAAAGATAAAAATATAAACTTCTAAGAAAATGAAAAAGGTCAACAGATACCAGAGGCACGTGCCTTCTCTGTTTAGAATGGTACAATTTTTCTTTTTCAATTTTTTATAACAAAATGTTAAATAAATTTTTTGGTGTTAAGTTAAATACTCGGTGAATTTGATTGAAAACAAAATGGATTATGTTAAATACTTGCGTTAAGTTAAATACTTGTAAGTTTAATACATTTTTTTTTCATGAAGACAACTAAAGTAATACGCACACACATAAGGATTGACCAAAATTTTTGAAATACAACATAGAATACTATATTCCCTAAAAAAATAAAAATAAATAAACTCTCTTACCATATTACACATAAATGTTAAAATGCCAAGTCTTTCAAATTTTTCTTTTAATTAGAAACTCTAGATATTCACAAAATAATTAAATGAAAAATATTTATCATCTGTACATTAGAATGACACAGCAAATAAATATTACATTTGAATGTTACAACTAAATAAATATATTACACAGCAAATAAAATGTTAAATAAATTTTTCTAAGTGTCAGTTTAATTTTTTTGTTGCAGGAAGATCAACTAAATAAATCACCCTTACTTTCTTTTTAAATAGCTCCAAACAAACAGTCCCTTCCCCCCCCTCTCTCTCTCTCTCCATTCTTTGCGAAACCCATAATCAAACTCACATTTTCTGAATCATTGGCAAAGCAGTCTAAGATGTTTTTTAACAATCACATTAAAATGATAAATTAAAACTCGAGCACAATAATTGTCTGAATTTGAACTTTTCTCTTTCTTAACTGACTTCAATTTTATAGAGATGAAATTAAAACCCATTATAATAATAAATATTTTGAAGTTC